TAGAAAAAATGAGAATTTCAGTGTCACTATTTTTCGGTTCGAAGCACATGGACTTTTGGAATTTCTTCCTAACGTTTCGCTGGCAAGAGTGGATTGCTTCTTCAGAAGTTCATACTTCCTGGGTTAATATAATGTTGTGTCAGGTAGTTTGGAGTGCTAATACTAATACCTGGACCAGGTAATTTGTAAGGAGGTTAGGTTACGTTGGGTCCAAAGTGAATGGGTCTATTCTACCCTCCACCGCAACCCGCATAGGTTTATTGTGGCTCACACCTATTCACACCCGACCAAATATACCCAGCTCCTTAACGAAGCCGATTAGTTTGTATGGTGAGTGGTCTTTCTGGTCAGATGGTTAGAGTACGGTTCTGCCAAACTCTAAAAACCTGATTTGGTCCCCAGCAGAGCAGGCACAAAGTATATGCTCTGCTGTTCCATAATTTTTCAAACAGAGGCGACGCACACTGTCTTTCGACAGTCCGAGTCTCTGCATATGATGATTCAAATGACAGTAACCTGTGAGAAGACCTGTTAGATTTCGTAGTTCATCCATCCCTACTGTAGTCCAACAACTGTTTGGTATCAAGCTTCGAAGGGTGAATAAACGCCTTGGAGTGAGCCAGTCCTGAAAGATTCTGCCAGAAGTCCATAAATCTTCTTGCCCTCCAGGTGTTCAATCTTTGTTTGCCAATAACATATTCTGGTCCGATGAAGCTGCTTGCCGCACCCTCCTTTGCAAGGGAGTCAGCAGCCTCATTGCCTTCCAGGACAGTATGGACAGGAATACAGACCAGAGACAATCTGTTAGGTCTTCCTATCGAGGAGAGTCGTTTTGGTCAATTTGCTACCAATTCAGATGTTGCTCGGTAGGAGCCAAGAGCTTCCAACGCCGCTTGACTGTCCGAGATTATTTTTATTGACTTGTGTATGATTTTGAATTCTTCCAATCTGTCCGCTCACAATCCAATATCGTTAATTTCCGCTTGAAATACAGTCGCATAGATTCCTAGGCAGATTGATATCTCTGTCCTGAGTTTGCGACTGAAAACACCTGCACCAGAACTGGAAAATGTTTTGATACATCTGTAAACCAACAACTGTTTGCTCGGAACAGTACTTTCTAAGGCAGTTCGTAGTTGACAGTTGGAGGCATAAGGTCAGATGTCATTTCCAGAGTTCTGTGACTTCTATTGTCAACTAAGATTCTGTTGCACTCCTCATTAAATTGATTTGTGCAATTGGCAATGTGCACAAATGTATATGCAGTCCATCTGTCCATCTAGCCTCTCTCTCCAGAAGAATGTGGAGAGTAGGTAGATCTAGAAGGATCTCCATGGCCGTTGATGGCCAAACAAGACTGTCTCTATAAGCCAATGGATTTGTTTAGGACCTAAACCCCAAGTTTTATCACAAATTTTTCGACATGTACATAGGGACAGTGTGGTTTTGTGTAAAACTTGTTCCAAGTGAGCGTTCCAGGTATGTTTTTCATCAAGGACAATGCCAAGATATTTCACTTCCATTCCAAATGAAATGAACTCACCATTGAGGGAAAGTAGCGTTAGATCGTCCAATTTTCGCCTCCTGGTGAAGGGAATTATCACAGTTTTGCTGGTGTTGACAGACGTCTGCTTCCTCAGGCACCAACTGTAAACAACATCCATCGGTCTTTGGATGATATCACTAGCTACCCTTCACGACGTGGACCTTGCCATGATGGCAGGGTCATCTGCATAAGCTTGCAGATATACTTTTCTTCTGTTGAGGGCATCAAACAGACTATCCATCAAGAGCGACCACAGAAGGATAGAGATAGTACCCCACCTTGAGAGCAGCCTCTGGTGAACCTGAACCTAATGGCCTCAACTTGAAGAGTCGTAGTTGCAGTTCTGTTTACCAGCATGGCATAGATTTAGCCAGTTATGGTCGATTCTATATCTTTCCTAGCCAGAGATGATACTATAGATTCAGGTAGTGCATTGTCAAATGCTCCTTCAATATCAAGAAATACAGCAACCACAATCTTCTTGTTATCAAGAGATTGGGAAATTTGTCAGTAATATACATTGATCTTTTCCTACCTGCCGTTATGCTGTTTACTATCCTTGAACTTCTCAGAATGAGATTCCATATATGATTGAGGTTTACTGATTCCTCTGTTCTGTTGAAATTATCCGTGTATTTGTGGAACTCTATTGCCTCCCGTAACAGTCGGCTAGTGTATCATCGGTGGAAGGCAATTAATTCTGTTTTCAAACGTTAGGGAGAATTTCCAAAAGTCCACGGCCTCCAAACCCTGAAAATAGTGACACTGAAAACATAGAAAGTTTTATTTCTCATCTTCCATGATGATCTCCTACCACGTGGTAACGGCTACATTCATCAATTCAATAAAAGAAATAACCAAGAGAATATCTCAAAAATTGAAAGAATATTAACAGATACATGTCGCATAACAGGTGGCTTCGACGGAAATGAATACTTCAATACCGTCAGATGTTTTGACCCTTTAGTCCACAAGTGGAGTGAACGTTCATGCATGTACTATCCCAGATGCTACGTGAGCGTGGTGGTACACGGAGGCAATATTTACGCCATGGGTGGATACAACGGCCGTACCAGAATGAATTCTGCAGAACGATACAATCCAGAGAAGAATCAATGGGAGATCATTACTCCAATGCAAAAACAAAGATCTGACGCAAGTGCTGCCGTTGCACTAGACAAAATATATATCGTAGGGGGTTAGTGAGTAAATAAGCAAAATCAATCTCACTTCAGATGCTTAACGTTCATTATACAGGTTTCAATGGTCAAGAAGTCATGAATTCAGCAGAAGTTTACGATCCGGTTACGAAACAATGGTCGTACATACCTCAGATGAATTCTGCTAGGTCTGGCGTCTCTCTGATTGCTTACGGAAATACATTGTATGCCATTGGTGGCTTTAATGGTTACACCAGACTGGCTAGTGGTGAGAAATATAATCCTGAGTTATCTGCTGCGTGGTCTGATATTTCCGAAATGTTGACCCCGAGAAGTAACTTCGCCACAGTTATTCTGGATGATTACATTTTTGTCATCGGTGGATTTAACGATAGATTTGTCTCAGGTAAGTTGTATCTCATTATTGCATGCAGTAATTTTAATTCACGCCTTGCTTTCAACAGTGTACTGATAAAAGTTATTCAATATTTCTATTGAATATACAGAGTTTTTTATAAACATTTAACTAGATGGTACGTAACATTAAAATGAACAGTTCAAAAATAACTTTACAAAATGCTCAAAGGTGCGAACTCGTTTCCTCCTTTTCATAAAAGAGGATGTATGCATCTCCACTCACAAGCGATTTTGGTGAAATTGGTGACACTTGTGAATCATTGTATTCGTGCCACGTGCCATTATAAGGATGTCTGCAGAATGCTGTATAATGTCCGCTGTAGGTAGACCCACTGTGATTCGAAAGTGCATATAGATTATAGCGACAAGGAGTCACATTATCTGCTGCATAATTGTTCATATCTAATCCATCTAGAGGAAATTCGATGGCAGCATTTAACTTGCCTCTAAATAATCTTTCTGTTAGAGAAAATCTTTTAAAATGAATAACTAAAATACGGGGAAACTTATGGATCGATAGAGACTTTGTGCATTTTCTCCTTTCCTTGCAACTCGAACACGTCAGTTTTTCATGTCCATCCAAAGTTTCCTCTCTTGTGAAGAAATCCAAGCACTGTGATAAACTCAATTGGCCAGTTCTTTCTGGTATGGGAAGTAACAAATCCCAGAAAAGATCGAAGGTTACATATGAGTGTCCACAATGTGTGCACTTCATCGTGGATTTTAATTGACCAACGAAATTATCTACAATCTTAGAGTTATATGACTCAAATAAATCAGCCATGACTTTTGTGCTTTTTCGCTGCCGCTCAATTTTTCGTTAATCTCCGTTGGGGTCGGTTTAGGTTTCTCAATAATTCTATTAACGTCATCATGTAAACCTTCTTAAAGAAAACGAAGGAACTCCTGGGCGTCTTGATGCGCATGACCCATGAATCGAGGGGCGAAACTCTGAATCTGACTTTTTGAGAAGACTGTGTTCACTGCTCTATCAGAAGATAGAGCTTCTGCAAAAGCTTTGATTAAAGCACCGTCCGAACTAGAAATATTAATATTGATATCTTTCATATACTCATCTTTTTTCAAATATTCCAGTAGCCATCTCGTATTGGATAAACATTGCATTACACTGTTCATAAAACAGGTGTTGCCAATATTTTTCAACCCATTGAGCTCAAGGGTTTTGACTAGGAACGTATCAGTGATCTAATTGTGTTGTAGCTGTTGGTGATACGTTCGCCACCGCTGTTTTCTTTCCAGTAATCACGGATGCAATGATTCTTTCCATCATTGGATCAACGGACTGAGAAATCTGAAGTTAAATTTCTTGAAACTGAATCAGATATATTCATGGTGATTTTTTCGAATTTGGGAGAGAAAGATAATTCCAGAACTTGTTTATTTTGCTCTGCATCTTCTGAGACAATTGGGAAGTGATCAATCTGCTTACTCCATTTTGCGATGTTCATAGGAAATTTTGATTTGATTTGTGGGTTCAGAAATATTTCATCTAATTTTTGAGTAGACGGAAGAGTACCCAATATCGATGTGGCATTACCCCTTTGGATTGCGATACTGATTCTTCGAATTAAAAATGAATAGGCTCGGTTATCACTGGTAGAATTCATCATTCTTCTACCAATTTCTTTCAACAATTCAGAAGCATGAGATCCAAAAACACCAAAGGTTCCAATAGCAACAGGAAAGAAACAGTAAGAACTCAGCAAAGTGGAGTATTTCCGAAATTTTGATTTTTCTGCAATCATAGCAGCTGCACCAGTGGAAACCTTCGAGAATGTGGGCAGCAGAGTGATTGGTAGATCACTAAGATCAAGAGTATTTCTTGTATTTAGTAATGGAAATATCGAAACAGATGAGCAGTGACACGTCAAGAAGAATACTTCGACCACCCTACTGAAGATGACTGCCGCTGTGGCATTTGAAACGTTTGGATATTATAACCAAAGAAGACCACGGTAAAATCCGGGATCCATATACAGGGTGATCCATATTAATGTGATGACGTCATCGGTATTTTTTTTAAATGCAACACCCTGTATTTGGTGTCAGTTTTAGATAATCCGTAATGAGCTGATTCCGAAAAGGTTGATACTTGGGGTCTAACGGACAGAATTTGAAAGATGTGCGCTTAGAAAATAAATTTTATTGATATCTAATAAAAGTAGAAATTAATTAATTATTTTATA